ATGCGGGCCGCCCAGGCTCGCCAGGAGCTCAGACCCTATGAGGCCCTGGCGAGCTCAGACCCCATGAGACCCTGGCGACGCATGGTTTTCGAGCCGGGCGTTTTCACGCTATTTCGGGCCCCGGGACCCTCACAGACCGATCCGGCTCGAAAAGTGGCGCAGAAAGATAGGGTCTCGGGCTCCAGGCTCGATTTTTCAAGGCGTCTCAATTTTTAAGGGACGTCGGACCTCAGGGGAGATCCAACGCTTAGGTCGGGCATGTCCTCCTACAGGCGGAGTTTGGACGAAAAATATTATCCCGGCAAAGCAACCTAACAGCGATGTGTAGGAGCATATCTGGAAGCATTCCCCTTAAGATTCGGATGAGAATCATGTTGTAGAATTCTGCTGTTCTCGCAGTCGTAGTCGCATTCGCGATGACAGTCGCAGTGGCAACGGCAGTCGCAGTCACAGCCTCAGCCTCAGCCTGCCTCAGCCTCAGCCTCAGCCTGCCTCAGCCTCAGCCTGCCTCAGCCTCAGCCTCAGCCTGCTGCAGCCTCAGCCTCAGTCTGCCTTCAGCCTCGGCCTCAGCCTCAGCCTGCCTCAGCCTCAGCCTGCATCAGCCTCAGCCTCAGCCTCAGCCTGCCTCAGCATCAGCCTGCCTCAGCCTCAGCCTCAGCCTGCCTCAGCCTCAGCCTCAGCCTGCTTCAGCCTCAGCCTCAGCCTGCCTTCAGCCTCAGCCTCAGCCTCAGCCTGCCTCAGCATCAGCCTGCCTCAGCCTCAGCCTCAGCCTGCCTCAGCCTCAGCCTCAGCCTGCTTCAGCCTCAGCCTCAGTCTGCCTTCAGCCTCGGCCTCAGCCTCAGCCTGCCTCAGCCTCAGCCTCAGCCTCAGCCTGCTTCAGCCTCAGCCTCAGTCGGCCTTCAGCCTCGGCCTCAGCCTCAGCCTGCCTCAGCCTCAGCCTGCATCAGCCTCAGCCTCAGCCTCAGCCTGCCTCAGCATCAGCCTGCCTCAGCCTCAGCCTCAGCCTGCCTCAGCCTCAGCCTCAGCCTCAGCCTCAGCCTGCTTCAGCCAAAGCCTCAGTCTGCCTTGAGCCTTGGCCTCAGCCTCAGCCTCAGCCTGCCTCAGCCTCAGCCTGCATCAGCCTTCAGCCTCGGCCTCAGCCTGCCTCAGCATCAGCCATCAGCCGCCTCAGCCTCAGCCTGCTCTGCACTCAGCTCCAGCCTGCGTCAGCCTCAGCCTCAGCTGCCTTCAGCCCTCGCCTCAGCCTCAGATGCCCAGCCCAGCCTGCTCGCCCTAGGCTCATTCGCCGCGCATCAAAATGGACAAACAATGGAATTACACTGGGAACTCGAAGAACACGAAGTGGCCTACAGTGGCTAGGCATTCAAAATCATGCCCAGGAATGAGTTCTGGGAACTCGAAGACAACGAAGTGGCCTACAATGCGGCTCGGGACATTCAAAATGTGGCCTGTGAATGGAGTTCTGGGAATAGAAGAAAGAACACGAAGTGGCCTACAGTTGGGCTCCGGGCATCCAAAATGTGGCCCGGGAATGGAGTTCTGGGAACTCGAAGAACACGAAGTGGCCTACAGTTGGCTCCGGGCATCCAAAATGTGGCCCGGGAATGGAGTTCTGGGAACTCGAAGAGCACGAAGTGGCTTACAGTTGGCTCCGGTTATTCAAAATGTGGCCTGGGAATGGAGTTCTGGGAGGTCGAAGAGCACGAAATGTGTGACTGTTGGTTTAAAACGAGCCCGGCTCTGTTCCTGGCCCTCCTCCCCGGCACCCGCCTAGACCCCCCTGTGGAGTCCAGATGCTCTCTTTTGACCCTACTAGACACCTATCAGCAAAAGCTGTTAGGTAATAAAATCATATAAAAGGTCAGACAAAAAACTAAGATGGCCAAAAATGCTGGAAAAGTCGTCCCCTGACTTCCTTTTGACTATTTTTGAACATTCCCCCTGTAGAGGAACATGCCCGACTTAATCCAACGCACATGGGAAAAATCCAGACGGAGGCTTCTCGCAAATTTCGGCCTCTATATATATATATATATATATATATATATTATATATTAATATAGGGGCCCCCGCCGGGCACGGGGGCCGTCAAAGAGCGGTACAAGACGAGAAGCCGGTCCTGGGGAATCGGTCGAGACTTCGGGGGGCCCCGTATGGAGCAAATCACGACCTCGGACCTCTGGGAGTCGAGCCCGGGCCACAAGCCAGGCGACAGTTCCCATGAGCTCCCGGCGCTGCAAATTTTCGTTCACCGCGGGCGCTGTCAGCTCGGCGTCGGGCCCCGGGGCCCTCACGGATCGATCCGGCTCGAGGAATGGCGCAGAAAGACGGGGTCTGGGGGTCCAGGCGCGATTTTTTCAGTGTTGCATTCTTTTGCAACGTCGGATCTCAGGGCTGTCGGGAGCTAGGGGAAGCCGATCGGCGGCACCAAGCGGCCCCAGGCGCGAGGCCAAGGAATGGGGTCACCCGGGAGTCGAGCCTGGGTCACAGCTTGTCGCCG